TACCATCTCCTAGGTTTTTTGATGCTTTGAATAAAAAATTAATTTGAAGTTAAAAAGAGTTAATGTGACGGTTAAAAAGTGTATTTGAAATTAAAAAGGATTAATTTGTTGTTATAAAAGTTAGTTAAAGGAATTTCTTACATTTCATACCATCTCCTAGATTTTTTGTTGCTTTAAATAAAGGATTAATTTGAAGTTAAAAACAGTTGATTTGACGGTGAAAAAAGAGTTAATTTAAAATTAAAAAGGGTTAATTTCGAAAATAAAAAGGATTAATTTGAAATTAAAAATGCTTATTTTAATTTCAAAAAGTTAATTTGACGAAAAACTTTATATGTTTGTAAAATATTAAGTGGATATGTTGACATTGACCTTTCTAAGCACAAAAGTTGTCGAGTGGCGATCTGGGCTTTCTCCCGTGTGCTTCTTCTTTTTTATAGATACTAATTGCTTTTTAACGATTGAAGACTATAAAATAATTATTTTGTACTTCATTTATGAGTCCCAAAACACAACAAAATGGAGAAATACCGATCGGAAGAAAGAAACCTTACGTTTATATTTTTGTAATTGTGCCGTTTCTCTATTATTCCCCTGGTCCGCCTTTTCTCGCTATTTTGGACCGTCAGACGCGTTTTAACTTCTACATCGGCGGGTTTATCTTAAGTCAAGAATTTTTGTAATGTGTAGTGTTTATTAAATATTTTGGTGCAGTTTAAGATAATGTATTCATTGGTAGAGATTAAACGTTCATTGCTCTCGTTGTTGGAGGTTGTTCAGTTGAGGAAACGTGGGATTTGTTAAATGGAGCTCGCTGCGATTAAGACATAGTTGATTTTTTCTTCTTATTTTAATTATGCCCTACATAAGTTCATTTTGAAAATGCTTTAGTTACAGATAAAGAAAAAAAGGCTAATTTCGTAAACACGATCGTCTCGCGATGGCCTAAAACCCAAGGGGCCGAAGAAAGTTCGCCTCGGTTCATAGGGAGAAAGCAGATCGCCTAAATGGCCGATGCCCTTATGTAATCCGACAGATGAAATTGATAGGTGAAAAACTGAATTTTAATCCTAGCCCTTGGCAGGGTAAAAATAGTAAAGCTTGATCGATAGAAACCGTAGTTGAAAACAGTTTGCCTAAGCGCGTTGTCGGCAGTAATGGATATGGATATTTGGTAGTGTAGCTGCAATATACCGTTAAAGGTGGGTTATAACGCTACATCGTGAGACCATCCGATCATCTCAACAAAGGAAACGACGTGAGTCTCTTCAGGAGAGAGGTCCCTCTAGAGCGAAAATCTTATAACAATATTGAATAACATAAAAAAATATGGCACAAGAACTAAACAAATAAAAACTTTATTAATTTACTGTATTTTTTTTAAAGAAAGTTGTTTAAATTACATCATTTTCTATTACTTCGTTTCTTGTTCTTTTTTTTTTATTGCAAGAGTTATTACGTTCTTGTTGAATTTAGACCTCTAGCACATTTTTGGTGGATTTCTCATTTATACCCAGCTTCTCTTCCAGGATTTAGCATATAAATCTTCCAGAATCTAGGGGCCAAAAGCTTACCTAAGTCATTCCAGCATCTCCCAATACGACTTCAGCTGCATTTCCTGACAACTAGTATATACTTGCACTCAGTCTAAAACAGAACAGCAAAAAATCCCCGAATGTATGGTGAACCTCCTCCCAAAAATTCAACAATTTCACTTTTGTATTGAAAAGGAAATTATCTGGCTTACCCTGAAAACAATGAGATGATTCCACAAGCTGATATCCCCAGATCCATTCAGGGGATGTGTATGTAGGGTTCCAATCTTCATAGAGGTCAGTAGACGGGTGAAAAAAAGACTAAATGCTGGCTTCACCAAACTTTCAGAACTTATAATAATTAAAACTTATAATAATTACTTATAATTTTATATGGATGTCTGTTTCACCGTCGAAATGTATTATGCTGGCGATGTGCTCCATAGCCTTAACCCCAAACACTTGTAGTTTTTCATATTAATAATTTCTTCATCCTTGGGAAAGTATGTATACCATTTTATACATTAATTGTTAATTGTACGTTGTTTTGTATTTATTTGAATTTGTAAATAGGCCCTGATGATGGCCCTATAAATTGCCGAAAGCTCGTTGAACCCAGCATTTAGTCTTTTTTCGCCCATTTAATGATCTCTACGAAGATTGGAACCCTACATAGATTATCTGCAGGTTGATCAATGAACATCAGATCTTCATTCAAGGGATACTTCTGCTAATTGAATGGAAAAGTTTTTATTTAAATACATCCACTAGATTTTAAAAGGTTTATCAGGCTGAATTCATGGCAAGCGAGTTTTATGCCTTCTTTGGTGTAGAAGATCTGGAATAAGATCGCCCATTCAGAATGCATGTGTGCACTGGGAAAAATAGGAAAATAAAACAAATTGTCTCTCATTTTGGTCCAGAGCAAACTTATTAGAACGATAATAAGTATCTAAACTGCTTCTATGGATATGATACTAAATCTGTCACCTGTAGTCTTCATCTGAGGCAAGATCTTTTGCACATTGCTTAAAGCAAGCTCCTATACACTACCTCCAAGATGCCAAAGCAACTAAAATTTAAAGATAACAGTCAGGTGCAAAATGATTCGTAGTGGCAAGGAGTATCACCTGAGGATCACAGGCACCTTAAGAGAACTACTGCTGACCTGATTATTCTACTATACTTTCTACCTATAAATAATATTACAGGGAGAAGCAAGATTAGTTACCTATAGGCACATGCAATAACAGACTATTATCCTCTACAAGCATGATACCAAACAAGAACTTAAAGAGGATCTTAGACAAATATTGTACATGCCCACAGACGTCCTGACTCCTTCATTTAACACCAAGCTTATTACCAAGCTATCGTATAATAAAAATCTTCATAGGAGAAAGGACTCAACCAGTTCAGGGCTATCTACTTATAACAATTAACACATAAGAGGTGTGACAATGAACACTGGGCAATGGACAGCTTGAGTTCACTATCTCTCCTCTAAGTCCTAGGGTAAACAGGACAAAAGGGTAATGAAGTGCCTGACAATTAAAGCCTGAATCCTGAAAATTTTTAAACTATTACAAAAGAGTAGTGATGGCCGAATGGATCAAGTGAAAAACCTCATGGTATGATAGGCTAAAGACTTATTATGAAAATTTTGCCTAAGTTGTTGCAGTAAAGCCAGGAAACAGTTAATAAAAGGTTATTCCACATCCCAATCAAGGATTGAGGCTAATAAACCCATCAGTGGAGAAGCACAATAGTCCTTCCAGATAAAAGCAAAATGCTATCTACCATCTATCAAATCTAATCTTAAGATGAGTTTTCCTCCTCAGCCTGGAAAAAAAGCTACTATACATTGTGCTAATACATCTTAATAAATGGTAACTTTGGGTGCTACTTAGCAACATCCAAATAAGTCAAATAATATCTAGTCTATGCCATAGAATGCCAGCTGCATTTCTACAAAAGATACAAACAAAATAGGACCATTCATCTTCTTCCTTGTACTTTGGATCACTTAGGAAAAGTGATTGTGCAATAAAAAAAATCCTAGGTTAGAAGTTACTGTAATTAAAATTTAATTCCAATGGACTTTCACCAGAACCTTCTCAAATGTGCCATGGATTACAGCTATTGTGGTGCAATTAGTTATTAATGTAATGACAAAAGTTAAAGCACCATTTGATCCATTCTTGATTGAGTCTACTAATGTGACCAGCCCAGCTTCACATTAAAGACCATACTGTTCATATTACATTCTTTAAGACCTGTTCTTTCCTTGATTTTTACTTCATCAGTATTCTGACGTGTTTGGTGTCTTCCATTGACCATAGCATTGTGGTAGTGTACACGATGTCATCCACTTAAGTAGAATTATGTGAAAGGCGACATTTTAACTTCCGGTAAATACCAATTTTGAATGCGTTAGATTCTTAGTTGATCTTTTTATTGGTAAGAAACTACTACCAGTCCATAGGTCATTTGCACACCTGCTGCAGTGTTTCATTCTGTATTGTAAAATTTAATTTTGATTATCTGGCCTTGATTGCATAGAGCACACAACCTTTTGAAATTAAAATAATGATTCTTTTTACAAATGTTTCTTTTTTTGGGGTGGATACTTATCAAGTGCTCTTCTACTTTTATTTTATATAATTGAATGTTAATCGGAAGCCTGCATTTGTGAATTAGTGTGTCATAAATAATGTATTATTACTATTATTAAATTATTATTAAAAGCAGGTTTCTAGGGAGAATCAGTCCCAACATAGCCGAAGGTCGTGGGTTCGAATCCCGCTTGTGATGCTAATTTTCATCTCAATCAAAAGCCTTAGATAAAGAATAATTAATTGGAATAATTATGGTCAATTATGACCATTAAGCTAATATAGATTAATTTAATTATAATTTTATTATTATTGTATGTAAACAATTTAACTGAATTATGGAAAGAGGTGAAGTAATCAATGGTCAGCCAGGTTTTTCTCTAATATGTTGGTGCTGCAGATTTCCTGAACCTCGAAGGATAATAATGAACTTAAATATGTAACCTTAAAAAAATAGAACAAAATCTAATGTTATCTTGAAAAATGGCAAAACAAATGGAAAAGTAGTTTATAATAAATATTTAGGTGTAAATATCCTTATTATCTCTAGGTCAATTCAACTCAAAGAAAATGGTTTGCCAAGGGCAAATTGTTAATAAATATTATGTGTAGTTATGTAGTAAAAAATAATATAATTATTTTTTTAACAGTATAAGTAGTAGACGAATTTTATCTATATCCAACAGATGTTCGAGGATTAATTTTTATTCTCAAGGTTCAGTGATTCCATGTAGGGGTTGAGCAGTGTCAGATGCACCTTACACCTGCCTCAACACAATACTACTTAACTCATTTAAAACATTCGTATTTCATGTTAATAATTTTTATTTTGTCTTGTCTTTTTTTTCAGGGGGATTAGTATGTTTCATAAGTCACCGCGTTGGAGGGAACACAGACCAGAGAGAGGGCTTTTTTAATAAAACTTCATTTGTAAATTTACATCAGCCGATTATTTTAAATAAACACATAGGATTGAGTTTTCGAAGCTGTGCTGGTGGTGAACTTTTTACTCAAAAGTAAGTAAATTTGATTATTACATTATTTCATTGTTTATGCATATTGAGCGTTGCAAAAGCTAAAATTTTGTGATTTATTAACATTTGAAATTAGATTTAATAATGTTGTATTTAAAATAATTTCTTATGTTGGTAAACATTCAAGCAAAGACCAGTGACAAAGTTATTTTACACGAGGGGGATCTTTATTTTTATGTAAACATTATTATATTTTATTTTTATGCTACGGTTAAAATTTTAGGGGGAGTAGTTATTCTATTACACTAGAAGTAAGAGTCGAAGGGCTGTTTTTCAAGATAGACATTGGCGGTAAGAGGTCAGAGACTCGAATTAGTGCCAACCTGTTGGACAACGAATGGCACACCGTCAACATCCTTTATCGCATGAGCAATTTAACAATATCAACGTCGGGTCATAAACAGGTACTGACATTTTACAATATGATTCAATTACAGTTAATTAATTTCTTCTTCCTCATAGGTCATTGCAAACAACACATTAAACCCAGAGGTACTCACTCAGCCAGACCTCTTCTCAGAACAGGATTTGCTTCAAGTTGGTAACAAATTCGATGGATGCATTCTCGAAGGGCCTAGCATCGTTTTCAGCAGCGGTAACCATCATAATTCCCACAATGTAGAGTGGGGACCATGCCCTCTACCAACAACACCATGTATGAGTAATATATTATTAAATTTTCTTAATAATAGATTTTTAGTGTAGAAACATGCCTTGAAGTTTGTTGAATGATTAGGTAGTAAATTTTTTTTGCATTACTATTATTGCTAGTTGTTCAATTTTTCCTTATATAAATTTTGTAGCATCTAGGTCTTTCATAATATTTAATTTTTGTATGTCAACAGACTTCATTATTTCTTAAAGAAACGATCATTTTAACTTTTAATTCAATTTCAAGTCACTCAAATTCATTCACAAGCACTTCAAACAATGCACTCAGCACTGTGCACTATTCAACGCATGAACCGTTATATACAGCACAGTTATCACTTAGCAAGTATGAGGAAAAATCGTATAATTTTTTTACCGATGATGAGATAAAATCCTAAATTAAAAATTTGCTTAATATATGGGAAAGTAATAGGTATGCTCAGCATAGTATGCTTTCTTCAAAGTTTAAAGAAGCTTGGAAATATAACTTGAGTGCATGCAAAGAAAAAAAAAATCACGGACTTTTTTGTACAATTTGAATAACACACGCAGCACAAAATTGAAATGTGACAAGTCGTGTATATACTTTAAAATCGTTATAAAGCATTTTACAATTTATTTTTCATATTTTAGCAATTTTATGGGTAATTTCTCTTATTGTGTTAGTTTTAATATCACTATTAGTACTAATTATTTGTTATTGTCCAAGAATTTGTTTTGAGAGAATCGTAACGAATGTTTAGAGGTAGATAAGTTAGTTGCATGTTTAGGTCGACTTGTGGAACACTGTGCCAACGAACCATGCATGATGCATGGGCGATGCATTACTTTGCCTGATCGCTACTATTGCCAATGTGCTCCGAGGTACTCAGGCAACATCTGCCAAATCGATAACGGTGAGCATTTTTCACAAAATCATTCAGCATTAAATTAAACAAAAAAAGAAATCATTGTCATTTTGCAGGTTCATGTTTTTTGTTTGTAAATATAATTTTTTTAATAACTTGTTTGTTTATTAATAAGGTCCGTTGTGTAATAAGCTTCCCTGTAAGAATGGAGCGACCTGCCATGATAATAAAGGGGATTATGTTTGCAATTGTCCAGCAGGCTTTGCTGGTATGTCATACTATTTCTTCTTATTATTTATTTTTATTTTTTAAATCTTTCTTGGATACTATTAAGTGTAGGTTTTTGTTTATTAAGCATTAATAATTGACTATTTTATTAATATTTTTTGTTATTTGTAGGAAAAGATTGCGATGTTAATATCAACACCCAGATTTGTGAAAATAATTTACCATGTCAAAATAATGGCACGTGCATAACTGTTGGTGGAGACCTTGGTTATAAATGTCATTGTCAAGATGGTAATATTATTTAAATTAGCTGATTTTTAAATGAAAATTTCATTTTTTTAAAACTGATAAATTGTTTTTAATTAGGTTTTGAAGGAAGAGACTGTGAAATCAATAAAAACGAATGTTTGTCCAACCCTTGTCAACATGGCGGGACTTGTCAAGATGGCGTGAATAGTTTCTCGTGCCTTTGTGGTAGAACAGGGTAAACACAAATATAAATTTTCAAACTTTTCACAACAGAAAAAAAAAGATGTATTTTCAATGGTTTTCACTTATGTGTTCAATGTTTCTCAGCTATACTGGGGTAAGATGTGAAATAAACATTAACGAGTGTGAAAATAATCCTTGCCTTAACAACGGCGTTTGTTTTGATAATTATGGAGGATATACGTGCCAATGCACGACTGGGTTTGGTGGCCAAAATTGTGAACAGGTATTCAAAATAAAGTTATTAGTTATATTATAGTATTAATATCTTTTTTATTATAATTTAGAAATTAAGCGGGTGTGCTTCTTCGCCTTGTAACTCAAATTCCATCTGTGTTGATACGAGTGTCAATACGTACGAATGTACATGTAAGCCTGGTTTTACCGGTAAGTTTATCTTTTTTTTTTGTTTGTTTTTGTTGTTTTTAATTTTTAAATCATGACTGGCTTTTCAACTCACACTTTTCTTCTTCTTCTTCTTCTAATTTTTTACGTTTTGTGTGAACAGGTATTGATCCAAATTGTACCCAAATTGATACTTGTTCACATAAACCTTGTTCAAATGGAGCTACATGCAATGTAATGGCTGATGGTGGTTTTGCTTGTATTTGCCTTCCGGGTTTTACAGGTAATTTATTTAAACTATTCTTCTGCTTGCACCAGTTGTGCTTTATATGACTTCTAACTACTTTTAAGATTTAACCTAAATTACGTTCAAATAGTGTGGACCATTAATTAAAATTAATTAATTTTTAGTTTTTATTCAATTTCTATTACAATTAAAATTAACTTAGCTCAGTTACTGGCATTTTTGCACCCATATTTTATCAAGTTTCTTCCTACATTCTTAAGGCCCAGCCAGGCAGAAAGCTATCTACAACAGCAAGAAGCGATCCAATCGTCATTGTTGTAGAGGTCATAGCATGTGGCGGATTTTTATTTTCTACGCAGTATGAGTTCGAGTGAAGAACCAATCCTTTTGCAAAATTAAAAAAAAAAAAAGTGCACATGAAGAAATTAATAAGAAAAAAGAATTAGGTTAATATCACTGCTTATTTATTTGCAAATGTTATGCAAGATTTATGTTTAATCACTCACTTTAACCTAGAACAAATTCACTCTGTGTATCAAAGAATCAAAGACGATAGAGTGATAACACAGTCATTCTGTCGGTCAGTTGTCACTTCCCACCACGAAATATTACTTTCTGTCTGGCTCTCCCTTAAGAATTATCGATAATAATAAATTGCAAAATTACTTGCTGTCTAAAAACAAACAAAATTTCAGATTGTCTATATGATTTAAGCAAGACCTTTTACGTAATGCATGCATGCCTTGTTCATCCCCTCAATGAAAATCACTAACATCCTTGAAACCAAATTACTTTTAAATTCATAAATTCAAACTTAAAAATAAATAAAAAACAATTTTATAAAAGAAATAGTTGTGCATCTTGAGAGTTGATATGTTGTTATCATATTATGTTTGATTTGGCCTAACATGTTTGCATAGTTCTTGATATATTCTCTTACCTTGAAACCATTTCAATTACATGGAAAATATGATCAGTCACATTTATTTCAAATTTGTAAGTCAACATCCATGTAGAAAATGTATCATAGAAGATTATGTTAATCTGAACATGGAATTGGCATGTATGTTCAAGAATAAAGAGATACCAACTTCCACTTAAGTCAAATACTTAAGACTATACTTAGACAGCAGTCTGATATGGAATCCCTGTATAAGACATTAGAGACAACACCTTTGACAGACCACTTAGACAACTACGAAGACTTCTAGGACCAAAACCATCTTGACCGTCAACACTAAACTAACCTTATACAAGACTTCACTGGACCACTTTGGACATATATAGTGGATCTGTGGGGTTCTGTTAAGCCTTCCAATATCTAGCGCATCGAATCCTTCCATTAAAAAGGACCTCAGACAAATCTTCAAAGCTCTTTACTGTCACTTACTTCACCGTCCACAACCACCTCAACTATTGCCAACGAACTGATCCATTACCAATCCAAAAGTTTCACACCAATATTTGTATTGATGACACATTCCTAACTTCTCGTTTATTGAAAGCATGTTCAATTGGTTTCAAAATTAGGAGTTAGATGTGAAGACATAGATGTTCAGTGCCATCCCTGCTCGAATAGAGGCACATATATGAAAACTGAAGATGGCTTTTTCTGCCTTTGTCGACCCGGTTTCTCAGGAAAAGACTGCAGCAAGCGTGTAAACTGCATTGCCTCCCCTTGCCAACATGCAGCTGCATGCCTTGATTTTGTAAGAATGTCTGAATTTTGTTGTAGGATTTGTCGTATTTTATTATTTTAATTGTGTGAATCCTCAGATTTTGTTCAGTTCATACAATCCCTTTTGTTGTTTTCGATCCTTTTATCTTGGTAGTTGTATCAGTAGCAAGTCCCTTTTTTTTGTATACATACGTCTCTTGATAAATAATACATTGGATTAATTTTATTAGCCGGGTGGGTATTACTGTGTCTGTGATTGGGGTTGGACAGGATCCACTTGCGACCAAGAAATAATTGCCTGTAACCCAAAAATGTGTCAAAACGGTGGCGTTTGCTTAGATTCACAATTCTGCATCTGTCGTACGGGCTTTTCAGGTAAGCTGTTTCTAAGACAGCCCCAACCTTTAATTATAAAAACATTGATTATTGTAACATTATTATACATTATTTAGCCATTATTTCATATTGTCATGCATATCTGTTTCAGGTCCGAATTGTGAAGTAAATATTGATGAGTGTGAATCATCACCGTGTAAGAATGGGGGGACATGTTTCGATGGAGCAAATGGCTATCTTTGTAATTGCACTTCCGATTTTATGGGTCCAAATTGCGAGCAAAGATTTGACGCTTGTGCTCAAAAACCTTGTCTCAACAATGGTACATGCTACGCTCATGATGTAAAAGACTACTATTGCGAATGCATTCCAGGTAGAGTCCAATAATTATGATTTCCATTACTACATTAAAATTAAACGTTTTGTTCAGGATTTGAAGGTCTCCATTGTGAACACAACATTGACGATTGCGCAAATAGAAAATTGTGCGCTGATGATAAAGTCTGTGTGGATGGTATCAACTCGTACGAATGCAGGTGCAAAAATGGTCTTTCGGGGCCTGATTGTAAAATTGCGGTGCCACATTGCAATTCAGCGCCGTGCAAAAATGGAGCGACTTGCACAGAAGACGAACACGGCTACAATTGTATTTGCCCTCCTGGATTTTCTGGTATTCAGCTTGACTATTAGATGTGTTTAAAATCAATAAATAATTTTCACCTTTACTCATAATTTAATTATTACATAATTTACTTTCAGGACAAAATTGTGAAACAGACATTGATGAGTGTAAGACTATTCCACATCTATGCAAAAATGGAATATGTATCAATAAAGAAGGTAAAAGATTTTGTTTTTGAAATTTATATTACAAGTATATGTACATATATTTTTTTAAATATGCACTTATTCTTTCAGTTTGATCTATTTTTTATATATTATTGATACATAATTATTTGTTTTTAAAATGTCTGTGTTCTTCAGGACGATATCAGTGTTTCTGTACACCTGGTTTCTCCGGCGACCACTGCGAGGTGGATTTCGATGAATGCCTTTCCCACCCGTGTCAGAACGGAGCGCGATGTGAAAATCTTATAAACAAATACCAATGCAGCTGTACGCCCGGTTTCACAGGCGTTGACTGCAGCATCGACATAGACGAATGTGAATCGAATCCGTGTTCTAACGGTTCGAGCTGCATAAACGAAGTAGCTACGTTTTCATGCGTTTGCCCTCCAGGGCTGACAGGAAGATATTGCCAAGAAGATATTGATGACTGCAAAGTAATTAGATTATATTGAATACATTTTATTATTTGAATTTCAACTAACTGTTTTAATTTTATAGCCTAATCCATGTCAAAACAATGGCCAGTGCATTGACGGATTGAACACTTACACATGCAATTGTGAAAATACTGGCTATGAAGGTACCGTGTTTGATTATCATTGTTTTAGGTTTATTACTTCATTTTTATTATTATTCATTTTATTTTAATTATTTATTTTCCAGGAAAACATTGTGAATACAATATTGACGAGTGTGCAAACAATAATTGTACAAATGGCGCTAATTGCACTGATTTAGTTAATAATTACGAGTGCCTTTGTTTTCCAGGATATGAAGGTAAACTTTTCTTTAACTAATATTCATTTTTTTTTTTTTTTTCGATGGAGAAAGGGCAAGAGAGATAAGTGGTGGAAGGGTGTTTTATTTAGGGAAAGAATTAAATGTTGTGTACAACGGTATTATTTGGGAATGGTCAATACTGGAAAAAAAAAGATACAGATCCTGGATCCGTATCCCACCTGACCAACAATGCTTCCATCCATGGTCACACCATTTAAATTAATCTAAATATGAAGTGTTTCCTGCTTCTAAAGAAACTAATTTAGTGATCCACTTGCGCTATGGGGGAGGTCCAGTTCGCGTGGAGAACTCTGGGATCCAATAACCTAATTATCCCCGGAGCCGGGAAAGATGTGGATGGCGGCAGTGACATGCACATCTTTCGTGTGGTAACCGCCCTTATATAAAGGCGATCTTAATATGATAAATTAAAAAGAGAGAGGAACTGTGCGATGCGGGAGGTGGGTGCTTCCAGGCGGTGCAGGGGGCCCCCCTTGCGGGGTTTGGTGGGGCATCCTCTGGAGGAAATAGAGACATGCCTGTGGCTTTAGGCCGATGCCAAAAAAAGCTATTTCTTTAATACAATAAATACTTGTTAAAAACTATGAGAAAATAATTAACACATATCTAAATGAACTAAATTTACAATTTAATTTTTTTTTTTTTTTAAATTAAACTTACAACATGGGAAACATATGAACCATATTAACATTAAAGACAACATATTAACCATTAAAGTTTCAACGTATCAGGCCTGATAAAAGAAAAAGACAAAAGATACTTGCTCATCTACGCCTAAGTCCCTCATCTGCATCATATTCGCTGTTATCTACACCGTCCTCTTCAGGAGTCGTTTGCCTCACCTGTAAAACAAAACACTGGGGGCCTACACTCAGTACCACTGAACACACAAATATACATTGAGACTTTTTCTGATATTTTTCCTAGTAAACGATCTTGCGATCACCTCTTGCAGACTGATACCAACCTTCTTTCCTCCAAATCTTGAGCCCAGAGCCTACAGCCTCTGAAGCAAAACCTTGCTTGAAATGCTTCATGCTTCTCACTGGACTCACAACAGACCATGCTGATTGGCCTTGATTCATTCCAACTGCCTTTTTGACTCCATTCTGTTACTTTATCATGAAAAAATGTAATATTGAGCCTAATTTGTATATTTATTTTAGGTAAAAATTGTGAGCTCGATATCAAAGAGTGTAATAGTAATCCTTGTAAGCACAACGGCACTTGTTACGAAAAATCGGATCCATCTTATTACTTACCTAATCCAGACCAACCAGAAGATACAAATAGTCCTGTTATTTTCAACAAGTTGTTCAGTTTTGAAGATGCCGCTGGGTAAGAATTCCCCTCACATTATTATTCAACAAGAAAAATTTCTTTAAATGAATGCGTTTGTTTAGGTATGAATGTAAATGTATTGACGGAATCACAGGATCTAATTGTGAAATTGACATAAACGAGTGTGAAAGCTCTCCTTGCGAACATGGTATGTGCCAGGACGGAATTGCCAGTTTTACTTGTGAGTGTGAAGCAGGATATGAAGGGACATACTGTAAAACGGAAATTGACGAGTGCCAGAAATACAGGTAAGGTTGCTCTTATGAATTGATAATTTTTTAAAATTAGGGCATTTATCCAATTTTTTTTAGCCCTTGTGTTTACGGCATTTGTCATGACAAAGTCGCAGATTATTTTTGCGAATGTGATAGCAAGTACGGTGGAAAGAATTGTTCCGTCGAGTTAACAGGCTGTTTAGAAAATCAGTGCCAAAATAATGGGACGTGTAAACCTTATCTGGACGATGACAATGTTCATAAGTTCAACTGTTCGTGTACAAACGGTTTCCAAGGGCCGACATGTGAAAAGGTAAGATTTAAAGTTTAAAGCTTCTACAAGTTACAAATATTAATTTATTTTATTACAGGAGACAACTATGTCCCTCAATGGCTCGTCTTACGCTATGGTAAACACGACAAGGGAAGAAGGCTATGACATTCAGTTTAGATTCAAAACTACTCTGAGTAATGGACTTCTTGCCATAGGAAAAGGCTCTACGTATTATATTTTAGAGTTGGCCCAAGGCCGTCTCAATCTCCGTTCGAGCATTTTGAATAAATGGGAAGGCGTTTTCATTGGATCTGCCTTAAATGATAGCAAATGGCAAAAAGTAAATATGGTTTTCTTAGCATTTAAAAAAAACGTAAAATGTACTGTTAAAAAATAGTTTGAAATTAAATTTATATATTTTAGCTTAGTAAGGACAGTTGTAATATTAATTATTTAACCATTTTTTTACCAGTGAGACAATCTGTCGATCAGTGTGTAAGGTTAAAAAATAATATGTAGTAATATGTTTATTTATGGATAAACAAAAACTGGTCATCACCAGGCCCTGAACTCAAAAACTATATATTTATTTTCTTTGTGTACTAAGTATAAATTCATCTTTCAGGTATTTGTAGCAATAAATTCATCCCACTTGGTGCTAGCAGCAAATGAAGAACAGACAATATATCCCATATTGCCTATCAATCTTAATGAAGGATCTAATACATCGCACACTAGTTTTCCGACAACGTATTTAGGTGGAGCGATATCATATTTAAGAAGGCTGACACATGGGCCTTCGTTCTACGTTGGATGTGTGCAGGATGTAATGATAAATGGAAATTGGGTAAGGAATTCAAAAATATTCTTTCTAATAGGTTTTTAAAAAATATGTATTAATTTTATCGTGTACAGGTCCTTCCTCAAGATGTGGGCACTCAACCAATATCATTTGTCGGTGTTGAAGTGGGGTGCAAACGTGAGCCTCAGTGTAATCCTAATCCATGTCATAGTGGAGGCCATTGCACAGATTTGTGGAGAAATTTCAGCTGCACGTGTGAGAGGCCTTATCTCGGAAGAACTTGCCAACACAGTATGTTCAAATTTTTTTCATTAACATAAATATGCACATTGTGGTATTGACTATAACTGCTATTGTAGATTTGACGGCAGCAACGTTCGGGCATGAAAACATAACAGAGAGTGTTGTTCACGTCATTGTTGACCAGGCTGCACGTAGAGCGGTCAGAAGTATCATGGACATTTCAATGTTTATACGGACAAGGGAACCATCCGGAGGGATTTTCTATCTTGGCTCTCAACCCAATTCTACAGTGTACAATGACGAAACAGTAATAGCAGCAAAATTATATGGAGGCGAATTAAAAGTTAGCTTCCAATTTAATGGAAATGTGGAATCTTATGGCGTTGATGGTGTGCGCTTGGACAACGGATTTAACCATCTTATTCAAGTAAGTCATACAGAAAATTTTAGTAAATTTCATAATTATCTTATAACTAACCATTTTTTGGTGGAACTCTTTAGTTAGTTTCTGTGATGGTCCTTTGATAAACTTTTTTTGCATGCCTCTGTCCCAGGCTACATTCCCTTTGAGCAAAGTACCTATTTTTAATCCATTGTCTAATTTTTGGCAGTTTGGTAAGCCCCAAAAAGGTTCAGGACCAATAAGTGTCCTCATCGAACTTTATTTGGCTGGTTTGTTGGCCTCTTCATTGCCCTGTGTGCCCAGGCAAGGGTAATTTTGTTATTTTCCTCAATGTCTGAAAGGGCTCCAATGCAGTACCAAAACAACTGGATTTTACCGCCGATGCGGCAATAGCCTTAGTGCCATCTGGCTGCCAATAAACAACTTACATACAATCAACTTTAAATAGTAAACATTAATTAATGACAGTAAAATACAAAAATTAACTTTTTCATTGTAATTCAACAATACATATATCGCTAAGCTTTTTTTCTCTCAGGCTATATTTCCTTTCGTCCAGGATGTGTTTCAAAAAAGAGAAAAGTCCATCTTTTTTCATTAAAAGATGTTGCCATCGGCCTTCGTTCTGGGTAGCCCTATAGCCACCGCTTTTGAACTGTTCTACAGACTTAGCAGGCATTATTTTTTAAGTAGATGCCCTTTCCTCACAAGCTTGAAAGACAAAAATATAAACGTGATGGAAAAAAGTGGAACAGTGGATGTCAAACATAAAACTACTTCTTGGAAAATTCCAGGCATCAGAAGTTGAAAACAGACAAAGCATGTTATAAAGCAATAAAAAAACTCTTAATTAATTTACTCAGTACTGTTAAAACATAAAAATGTTTAATTTCCACGTTGGTTTCATGTTTAAAAAAATTATAATCATCAAAAAATTGGGGAAAAATGCAATTTCATGCAGTAAACCTTAAAAACACAAAAGATAACACTAAAACGTGCACAATTCATGCTATAATGCCCATAGGTGCAATTTTGACAAAATAAAAATTCTAACAAAAGGGTGTGCTTTTTCATGATTCAAATTTCTCTCTTGGTTTCATTGCAATTGGAGTTAGTAATAAAATCCGGTCTTTATTGATAATTCTTGTCTCTCCTTTTTAAAAAGATAGTTTTAAAAAGGATTGAACACCGCACTCACTTCTATCATTTCTATTCTTGTTTCTTGTTTTCAAATGGTGAAATAAACGATAGGCAAACCAAGAATAATCAGGCGATCAATCTACAAACAATTATATAATCTGAAAACCAAGCATTGCTAAATTTTAATTAATTATACTTTTTATCTAAAGTCTTGGTTGAGATGTAAAAGTTAGTTTCACTAGTGGGATTCATGATCTTCGGCTGCTCTAACCATTTGAGCTATCATGTCTTTGATTCTCTGGGACACCAAATCATCATCTTAAAATATGGTAAAGAGCGAGAAAATTCAAAAGGTGGTAGGTTTAGATGAGGAGTTGGTTCCAATTGGATCAAAGTCACGATAGTTGAAGTGGTTAGAGCAACGACGTATTGAGCTGAAAGTCATGGGCTCGAATCCCACTTGTGACACTACCTTTTTTATTTCAACTAAACCTTAGACAAAATAATTAATTAAAATAATTAATACAGTCAATTATGACTACTAAATACCTATTGGATTAATTGTATTTATTTATTTTTGTCGTATTTTTTATTTAGGTTGTAAGAAATATTACATTAGTCCAAGTTAAAATCAATGGAACAGAATACTTTAGAAAGACCATCAGTGCTACTGGGCAATTGGATTTACAATATCTCATGCTTGGAGCAGTTTTTGGAAATGGTAGTGAAGTTAGAAATTTCAAAGGTGTAATTCAGGATGTAGAAGTGAGTAGTTTATTTATTTAAAAAAAAAAAAAAAAAAAAATTGTAATTTGTAAAAAAAAAATCAATTTTATTTAGATGAACAATGGTTCAAGAGTTATGGTTGTTGAATTTTTCCCATTGAACGTTGAAGATCTTATTATACCTCCTAAGCTTGGTCAAGTCCTTTTTAACAACTCACTTGTCCTGGAGGGCGTAGTCAGTGACAATTCGTGCGTTGATGATCCTTGCATGCACGGTGGGATATGTACTGTAACCTGGAATGACTTCAGGTAAGTTTGTTTGTCAGATTTAATCTTCAGATCTAATATTAGACAAATCGTTACAGTTGTGCTTGTACTGTGGGCCACAAAGGGAAACAGTGTGAGGAGATGGAGTTCTGTCAGGTTCAAGACTGTCCTGCGGGAAGCGAATGCAGGAACCTCGATCACGGATACGAATGCGTAGCTAATATTACGATTCACAAACCAGATGTGGTAAGCAATTTTCAACATTGATGTTGATGGTTTGCAAGATTTCTCCGTTATCATTTATTCTTATTTTTAGATGGCACCCGGATTGCAATATAAATTTGTGCGTGGTGAACAGAATACCATGCTGAATGAAATTTCTTTCGCGTACAGGAGTAAATCCGGAGGGAAAATTTTACAAGTCGGCCCCGATCACAATGGAAATCGTTTTATAGTCACTGTCTACAAAGACCAGCTCACCGTCTCTTGGAATTTAAATGGACTGGAAGATGTTAAAACTATATCAAAAGACCAGAGGGACGGTGACTGGACAAATGTCTGGTTAAAGATGCATGACAATACAATCACAGGAGGTCTTTTCGGTGCTTCGGAAGACACACCACAATACTTCACATCTAACTTTTCTCAAACAGCTTGGGAAACATTTGTTTCAATGGCCAATATCACTATCGGTAATTTAAAATAAATAATATATTTTGAAAAGCTTAAGAAAACTAATCTTTATGTCTGAACAAGGAGACAAACCCCTTAAATGTGTAGTATTTCAAAATTTACCATTCTACCTTTTGTTGAGTTTGTGGTATTTCTATTAATCTTAATTTTAATCTATCTAGACTCCTTTTAAAGCGCTTAATACCATATTCATAAAATCATTTCCTCTCACCAGTTCGGCTTCCATTTTCATCATTATACAATCCAATAAGGTTTCAGTTGTTAACACCATCTCCTCTACAAGTACAAAACCTCTCGATCCATCCGATCCTTACTTCTTGAGTCCACTTAACATTTTATAATTTAATAGTGACATATTAAAAAATATATATATAATTATCAGGTGGAATGAGGGGCATAGATGCTGAGGTAGATGACAGACACACTTATACAACAGGAGAAGGAGGATACACAAATCCTGTAGATATTATTCACGAACAACAAACTCCACCCACTTCCACTGAAAAAGGGTTTTACGAAGTTAGTATTATAAATTAATGTTTAATGGACGTCATAACTAATAATATTCAATTAATTAAGGTTTTAAGTTGAGATAAAAAGTCAAGTGTCACGAGCGGGATTCGAACCCACGACCTTCGGCTTGATACGCCGCTGCTCTACCACTTGAGCTATCAAAGGAGGGAAAATTCAAAAGGTGGGGTTGAGATGGGAAGTTAGTGCCCGAGTTGATTGAAGTCACGATAGCTCAAGTGGTAGGGTAGCGGCGTATCAAGCCGAAGGTCGTGGGTTCGAATCCCGCTTGTGACACTGACTTTTTTATCTCAACTTAAAGCCTTAATTAATTGAATGTTATTAATTGGTCAAGCGGATCACGAAAAATAGGGAATAACTAATAATTTTTTTCCAAAGGGTTGTATTGGCGAAGTTCGCTTTGGAAATCTTCTCCTGCCATACTTCACCCCTCAAGCTCTCAATTCATCCAATATCACATCGAAAGATCACTTTGAGCTTCTCCCAGGGAGTTCGATCGGACAAGAATTGGGTTGTTTGCTGTGTTTTGATCAAGAATGCCATCACGGTGGAAAGTAAGTTTGTACACATTTAGCTGTAATGTGTTTTAATCAGTTGCGTTTTTTCTTTTAAAGATGTACAAATTCAACCCTTTTCTACACTTGCACATGCCCCCCTGGGTATGATGGAGACGCATGTGAAAACGATATTGATGAATGTAAAGAAAACGACTGTAAAAACAACTCGACCTGTAAAGATGGTCAGGCAACATACACATGTGACTGCATGCCTGGCTGGCAAGGCCCACTGTAAGTATTAATTAAAAAATTAACAAGATAAAAATATTAATATTTATTGGTTTTTAAGATGTGATATTGAAATCGACGAGTGCAGCACAAAACCGTGTCAAAACGGAGGTACTTGCATAGATCGCCTTGGTTTCTTCATATGCGAATGCCCTGAAGAGTTTATTGGCACAATGTGTGAACAGCTTAAGCTCGTCACTTGTGACAGTGTACCTTGCAAGAATGATGCTGTTTGTCGTGATGTCATGAGTGAGTATTCAATATTGAATCATTCTGTTTTAAAAAAATATATCCACCGGCAACAATCTTAAACCAATTAAAATAATTTACTCATATTGTTAATGTGTTAATTTCTACTGTTTTCTTCTGTGTTAATTTCTATATTGAAAGCTCATATTTATAAATCGAAATTTTGGGGACTGCGGTGGCAGTATGGCTTAGGCGTCCAATTCTTATTTGCATAGATCAAGGAAATTTTAATTGTGACTAATATGGGAAAATTATTGGAAAGTACATGGCTTTTTTTGTTGAGAGAGAGAGAGAGAATTGAGAAAACTCTGAAGATGATGCAATGCCGAAACACATTTAAAATAACTTAAAACCTGAATTTACTGGCTTGCAGACCAAAACCCATCATCTGCAATTGTAAAATAGTTTGCCCTTCCCCTCAGTCCAATTACACCCAAGATATAGTTAGACTTTAAGCCCTACTATATGATTTGATTTTTTTTTTTTTTTTTTTTTTTTTTAATATTTCAACAATAATGGACCAGCTGGGTTTGAGAAGTTTGTAACTTGAGGGCGATATTACTTGTCAAAGGATGTACATCCTGGAATGACTTTTAGGAGTCCTGAAGGTGGTGCGTAAGAGGCCGTAACGATTTAGGCATTGACATGGCGCTCATTACTGGTAAGGCAAAGGTCCCAGGTTTGAATCCAGCGGCCCTGCATTCGAACCTGACAAACTTACAAATGGGCTTTTTTCATAAACACCGGCACCCTGAGGGTTCATATAACCTCGTAGTTGAAATACTCTTGTTAAAAAATAAATAAAAGGTGGACTGATCCAAAAATATTTTTGTTCGGGTCCAAGGATTCAGTTTTGGTTATGCTACCAGTCTAGTTCCAAAAGCTGAGATATAAGAGGGCTAATTCTATGCCCAGCCTGTTCGTGTCAACCAACAACTAGGGGAATCCTCCTCTGCATTTTTTCTTATCTAAAATTGGGGCAACAATCAGCAAATAAACTATATTAAAACTCTTTCAGCTTATCTGCTTAAATGCTACATAAGTTGATATTAAAATTAAAACAGAATGGTCTGACTCAATTATTTTTAAAAATATTTTCCTCATTTTTGCATTATTTTATTTTATGTAAAAGTGCTGATAGAAGGTGTTTAATCAGCTCTTCAAAAATTTATCAACATTTTTTTTATGGATGAAAAAAAGCCAGTTGCTGTGTTCAGTTAGAATGCTTCTACCCAATGTTGAATAAAAGATCTGTTTTTTAAACCACACATTGTTTAAATTGGGCACATTTTATTAGTTTATCTTTAAAAAAATATCTTTGTTTAACAACACTATCAGTGATAACAAGAAAAAATGAGTTGGTGTTATCAATTACCTTTCTTATAATCTCTGATCAAACATAAGACTCTTTTAGTCAATGTGTGCCAAGAATTTAATTTTTATCTCTTTACATTAGATCCAGCGACGAACGACAACTTTACTTGCGACTGTCAAGACGGTTTTCTCGGGGTTTATTGTGAATACGCTTTCTGCGAGAAGAAGCCTTGCGAAAACGGCGGTATTTGCAGGAAGGATGGCATGGTAAGAATGGCTGTGATTAAATTTACAATATCTGTGACTGATATTTTATCGTTGAAGAAACCGTTTTGCGAATGCCTGCCTGGTTTTACTGGAAAAAATTGCGAAACTGACATCAACGAGTGTGACAGTAATCCTTGCGAGCATAACGGCCTTTGTAAGGACTTTACGGCGTCTTTCATCTGCAACTGCACCGGGACAGGATTCACTGGATCGACGTGCAATATCGACATCGACGAATGCGAAATAGATGATATTTGCCCAGCTAACAGCCAATGCTTAAACACAATGGGCAGCTTCTTCTGCAACTGTTTTTCAGAATTTTGTGGACCCAATTGCTCTTTGCCCAATCCTTGTATGCAAGTAAGTCTATTTTTACATTTTTTATTTTTATTTTTATTTATTTATTTTTTAATACATTTTTTTAGTTAATCCCCTCTCAAAAGTTTAGGGTTACTTGGAAAATTGAAATGTTTTCCATCTTCAATTTTAGGCTTAAGTTTACAACTGCTTAAAATGAAAAATTATTGAAAAATTAGGTCATTAAACAAAAAAATTATCACACTTTACTTAATTGTTTGTTTTTTTCTTTAAGATAAAATCCATGGTGCTTTATTTATTTGGTTTTTTGTTATATTCCTTTCAAGATGTAAGATAAGCCAATTTATCAAATAATAAAATTATATCATTTCAAGTTGTTTTGTTATCTAAAGAAAAATTAATCTTGGGAGAGGGATACTGAAAATTATTCACACATGTATTAATTTTAAATAAATCGTAAAATCGATCCAAGCAGGTGTCCCATAAGGGAGCATTCTTGGTCCCATCCTGAACATTATTTATACAGGTGACTTGCCAATTCATTCCAACACACCCTGTCAACCTATGACTATACCGCAATAATGTATGAGCCCAAATTCCATACTATAACCATTGCTGATATCCAGGAACCTCAAGCTCGTCAAAGAATTACGTAAAAAAAGGAAGATTGACATTGCCCAAGGACAAGTTCACCCAAATCACTTCATGTTAAAAAAGAAAAAAAAAGCCTGCACTATAAACTAACAACAATGAATTACCAGCACACACATAGCTGAAATACTTTCGAATATATAGATAGCAGATCCTAGAATCTTCACACTAGACTGAACAGAAGACTGACAATTAAGAAGACTAGGACCAAAATCAAACTTGCTACAAACACACTCCACAAAACATTTTGACCTATTTACAGTATGACGGTATGGCAGAAGTATACCACAAACCCATCCAAGCATTTCAAAATCCTCAGAAGAATTTTTAAAGATAGATTTTCATCTAAATGTGAAACCTGAATTAAAATCCTTATGAAATGGATATATTCCTTGAAAGCTTGTCGAAGGGATGGAGTGTTTTTCTTACTTTCAAATTTTCTTATCCCTGATCTTTTATATGATTAAAATCCTTATTAATAAAGTCATAAAAAATTAATATTTCATTATAGATGAAAAGGTGTTAAAACATCCAAGAAACCCTATCAGTCAAGTTTGTTGTAATTAATTTCTGTTTTTTTGTGGGATACTAAGCACATTTGCACTGCTGATGATAACCAGAAACGTCAAAAACATAAAAACATCACCCTCGATTTCTTAGATTGTTTAATACCCTTTCATCTACACTGTATAGTACAAGAAAATGAAGTCACCCAGCAGTGACACTCCCCCCGACAAATCTTTAATAATTATATAATCAAATTTATTCAACTTGTATATATTTTTGGTTTTTCTCTTTTAGGAAAGATGTGCAAATGGTGGTTCGTGTGTTCCACAATGTTTGGAGAAGGCTGACTATATTTGTGAATGTAGCCATCCTTACACTGGTAAAAACTGCACAGAGGTAATGAAAATAAAATAAAAATTGCACGATATAATCAGTGTATAATATTGAACAACCATGGTCTGTTCCAACAGGTGATGCAGTTTGGAAGCGGTAGGGTCGCAGATATTGCGCTCATAGTCGTGCCTATACTCACAATCCTCATAGTCGCCGGTTTGATTTCTCTCTCCGTTTTCCTAATGATGGCGAGGAAAAAACGAGCGACACGAGGAACGTACTCGCCTAGTTCGCAAGAGTATTGCAACCCACGAGTGGAACTCGATAACGTTATGAAACCGCCACCTGAAGAAAGACTAATATAATTGTGATTTTTCCCCTCACTTAATCGGATGTGAAATTTGTACAAAATTCCTTTTATTTTCACCAATTCTATTACCAAAGGTTACATCTTAGTAGAAAGAAATGTTTTTAGTAATTTAAGTAATATACAAAAAGTCAATAATTAGATTGGTAGGTTTGAAAATTTCAATCTAGAAAAATCGAGTAAAAGGAGTGTGTTGTTTATTGTACAGTGCCTTAAGTGAATTTGTCTTTCTATAAATGTACATTTCGTGGGGGTAAAATTGGGTGAATCGATTCGATAGACACTCGTGCCTGTTTCTTGGGACCTTAAATAAATATGTGTGCCTATTGATTATAAATTTTATTTATTTATTTTGATCTCAAGCCAATCAATTATTTAAATCCCGCATTAATGTTTCGATCTGATAATTTTATATTAACTACAATTTTATTACTTAATATTTCTTTTATTTGTAGATAATTTTCTTATTTGTAAATATTTGTTAATTTTTGTAATTATTAAAAAAATTAGGTTTTATTAATTATGTACTTTGTAATTGATATAATGCATTACATGACTGTATTACAAACTTAACTCCGTCCAGTTTAAACAATATATATTTTCTACACAAATATTTGTCAACAATTTTGTGAAATAAACATTTGAATTATTACTTTTGTGCATTTACTCCATGTTATATTAGATCCAAAACCTTTACATTTTACATAGATTATTTATTGAGACAGTGATAAATTTTGATCATCTGAAAAAAAAAAATAAATAAATAAGCTTGAACTTTTTAAACTTAAAAATTCATGAAAGCTTCTTAAAACAGACCATTTGAAAATACTAGTTTTTAGTTTTAATCATCAATTTCACAATGGCAGCAATAAAGAGATGTAGCTATTTGCAGGGGGGGGGGGATTTTTTGACTTGTCAATTTATATAAGCTCAACTCCTCACACATACGTATAGAATTAAGTTATGATTTCAACTACTTTGGGCTCTGGCAATCCAGGATCAGACAACGGTTTTATCTGTCCCCCCACCAAAGTTAGACTCCAAAACACTGTAATGATTGATTGTGACCCAGATTCTAGGTCATAAGTAATGCTTGAAATAAATGAAAACCAATTATTCCATTTATATTGGCATGTTTAGATAACTCAGACCCCACAAACTTTTTTTTGTTACATTTTGTCCTTCCACCAGTCTGTAGTACATGAGACAGTCCTTTTGGCAGACAATGCTTTGAACTGATGATGTTTTTTTATTTCTTTAGGATTCTTATAGGTTTGATGAATCCTTAGAACAGAAATTTCCCTATGGTTAAAGCCACTGGTTCAGTTGGAGAGAGAGAAAAACTTAATATGACAATATATAGTAATAACTTGCCAGTTTCTTCTTGAGAATATAAATTAGTGAATTATATTTTTTATAACTTATTACTGATTTATTTATACATGTTCAAATCTGGACGTGTACACAGTTGAGCTTATCACATCTTGCAGTCCACCGGTAAATTCCAGTTTTTGTAATTTACAATAAATTACTGGCTGGACTCGAGAATCACCCACCCCATGTGTTGGCAGACAGGAATCAAACCTATAGAAATGATGAATGGTGGAGTGAGTGCAGTGTTCAATCCTTTTAAAAAGATAGTTACTACTCACAGTAAGTCATTTTTGACTAGTTGAAAACAACTTACTGTTAGTAGGAACTATCTTTTTAAAAGGGATCAAACCTAGGTCTTATCCATTTGGATGCTGAGGTTGGGCCTCAGCGTCTATCAATAGCTAGGCCATTTCAGCCTCCCCCCCCCAGACTTAATACTTGCTAAATCCATTCCCACTCTGACTCACCCTTACTTGCATTCTTACTTATTTATATACCATATTCAGAGTGGTGGAGAACTTGATATTCCCCCATCACCAGTTATATAACATGTTATATAACTAGCCTAATCTAGAGTCAGTGGAGTACTTGATAATCCAGCTCTCTCACACTACACATTCATGCCAATAAATAAATTCACTCTCGACATGCTTGGGACACAAAACTATCATTACTATATACAATAATACAACCTTGTTTTCTCCAAGATTCAGAACAGGGACCCAGATACTTATTGCCATGCACAAGCACCACAAAAAGACATTCATACAAATTAATCTTCCAAATATCTCATAGTATGATTTTTCGATAATTTAGACCAATGATCAAAATGAGTTATTTGTGACCCTTTTTGATCACGATCACATGTCCTTCTCTTTGTTCTGTCAAAAACTTGGTAGCGTTGAACTGTGCCACAAAAGGGCATGTATTATGCAATTTAATATATCTTTCAAATGTAACATATTATATTGTGATATTTAGATGATCAGAATGAGTTGACTCATTTTGATCACAATTTTATTTATACCTTATTTTTTAGTTATTGGTAATTAACTTTAAGAACTTGGCACTGCCATGGACTCTGAATCATGCTAGAAAAGGACATTCATTTATCCAAATTAATAAATATTCCAAATATAACATATTATTTCAATTAATTATACTTTTATCTAAAGTCTTAGTTACGATAAAATTATTAGTAATTGAAAAAATTAAATAAGTCAATTGTGAATGCTAAACATATAAGAAGTAACATATTATGTTGTGATTTTAGATAATTTAGACCCATGATAAGAACCCTTTTTTTTATCACAATCGATTTTCTGCCACTTTCCAGTTGTAATGTTAATAACTTGGTGGGCCATCCAATCTGAACTGTGCTAGAATAGGACTCATATTTATCCAAATTAATAAACATTCCAAGTGTAACTACGCTGTAATTACTAGATAATTTTGACCCATGATAAGAATGAATTAATTTGTGATCATTTTTGATCACAATCATATTTCTACTGTTAATAACTTGGTTCTGCCATGCAGTCAGAACTGTGCTTCAAAAGGACACGCATTTCTCCAAATTAATATTTATTCAAAATGTAACATATTATATTGTGATATTTATAGTATTCAGAGACATGATCACAATGAGTTACTTGTATCTCATCTTGTTCACAAACCTATTTTTACATTGTTTTTTATTTTTTATTAATGGTTAAGGACTTGGTACTGCCATGCACTCTGAATCGCTCTAGAAAAGGACTTATATTTATCCAAATTAATAATATTCCAAATGTAACATTATTTTGTGATATTTAGATAATTTAGATTCGTAATAGGAATGAGTTAACTTGTGACCCTTTTTGATCTCAATCACATTTCTGCCTCTTTCCATTTTTACTTTTAATAACTTAGTACTGCCATACACTCAGAACTGTGCTTCTTCAAAAGGACATGTATTTATGAAAATTAATATATTTTCCAAATATAATATTATATTGTGATATTTAGAAAATTTAAACTCATGATAAGAATGAGTTAACTTGTGACCCTTTTTGATCACAATCACATTTCTGCCTCTTTCCATTTTTACTTTTAATAACTTGGTACTGCCATACACTCAGAACTGTGCTTCAAAAGGACATGCATTTCTCCAGATTAATAAATATTCCAAATGTAACATATATTATGATATTTAGATAATTTAGTCTCATGGTAAGAATGAGTTGTGACATTTTTTTTAAAAATCACAATCACATTTCTGCCTCATTCCATGTGTATTGTTAAAAACTTGGTACTGCCATACACTCAGAACTGTCAAAAGACATGTATTTATGCAAATTAATATATCTTCCGAATATAACATTATATTGTGATATTTAGATAATTTAGTCATGATAAGAATGTGTTAACTTATGGCCTTTTTTTTATCACAATCACATTTCTGCCTCTTTCCATTTGTACTCTTAATAACTTGGTACTGCCATACACTCAGAACTGTGCTTTTTCAAAAAGACATGTATTTATGAAAATTAATATATTTTCCAAATATAATATTATATTGTGATATTTAGAAAATTTAAGCTCATGATAAGAATGAGTTAACTTGTGACCATTTTTTTTATCACAATCACATTTTTGCCTCTTTCCATTTGTTTTGTTAATAACTTGGTACTGCCATACACTCAGAATTGTGCTTCTTCAAAAAGACATGTATTTAAGCAAATTAACACATTTTCCAAATGTAACATTATATTGTGATATTTAGATCATTTAAACTCATGATAAGAATGAATTCACTTGTGACTTATCTTGATCACAATCATATTTCCGCCCCATTCTTTTTGTAATTAAGTACTTGGTACTACGAGTGCAGTTGATACAGGAAGTGCCTCAATTGATACGGACGTTCATATAGGCGTGATAGATTGAAGAAAAGTTAAAATGAGACATTTGTTAATATGATTTTTAGTAGAAACTTTCCAAGAAAAGGTTTTCGAAGGAAATTAAATTTTTAAGTAGGATCCGAGTTAAATGCACTTCGTGCTATCGTTGTCCGGAGATCGATGGTTTGATGATCGACCATCGTCGTCATCGATAAGCGCCACGGACGATCAGGGATCTGCGCTGGGCCCCGGCAGACATTTTTATACCCCGACACACTCAACAATCAACACAAAAAAAAGAACTCTTCGGGGCTTGTCAAATTTGTGATTTGTGCAGACCAAAGAACTCCAGACCCGTCACGACGAAGAACCCGACACGCGAAGTTCGCCCGCCTCCTCGGATATAAAAACAACGCCAGGCAGCAAATGCCGTTTGTGGACGGGTCCGGCCGGACGGAGATCGCATCGAGCCGTGGAAAGGAGGAAACAAGTGAAAGTCAACTAGGAATTTTAATTAATTTTATTTAACTAATTAGACGGCGGAAAAGGTTAGACACAAGTTTCTAAACAATTTTCTCTAATTTATTTATTTTTTCAATTTTTCTTTTCTTATACACATCCAAAATTTTATTAGAAAAAAAGAAGGAATCACAAACTTTCTCCTTTGATAATAATAACCTTAAATACCTTCTTGTGTGTATCGGTAATATTTTTAATTTTCAAGCATGCCTTTAACCGTGTGAAGCATGATCGATTTGAATTGTTTAATTAATTATTAACAATAAACAATTCAGTACATAAAGCGCGTTAAAGTAAACAAACGCTTCTTTTTTTCAAAATAATTTTTCAAGTGTCATTTGCACGCTACACAACACTCATTAAAAAAAATAAATATTTTTGCGAAAATTTTGTTGTATGTGTCTATTGTTTTTATTGTAGATGTAAAGTCTTTTTCAATTACGAATTGACAATTATACACGTTTGAGAACGTATATTCTATTTCTTTTAATTTTTTAGTTTGGTCATTTTTGATCATTTTGGTCTGCCTATCGTTGTTTTGGTCTGACAGGTAATTATCAAACTACAGGTCCATCACACCACAGTCTCCAAGAAGAAATTGACAATTAAATAACTTTTAACTGTTAATTTATTAATTTGGGTTGATGCTAAAATAATGTAGGTTTTTGATGTTAAGTAAAAACAAGCTACATTTTAACTTCAACAAAATGTATTCAATCAAAAGAAATTCCATTACTATATATATTTTTTCCAACGCATAACCAATGCATTAATCTCAGAAGAGTAGAAATTAGGGTCTCTGGAATCGACAAACTTCTGAAATGTATTTTCAGTGTCTGGCTTCTGAACCGTTTTTCATCCAAAAAGTTGTTGAGCTGTTTAAAAAAGTGATAATCTGCAGGGAAAAGACTTGGTGAGTATGGTGGATGTGGTAAAGCCTCGTAACCCAACTCATGAAGTCTTGCCAGAGTACGTTATGGGCATGCGTTGTCATGAGGGATGATAGGCCCCTTCCAATTGATCAATGCTGGCCATAAATGTCGCAGTTTTCGGTCCATCCCGTTAATTTCATTGCAGTACTTTTCAGTAGTGATGGTTTCACTCAGATTGAGAAAACTGTAATGAATGAGTCCTGCAGATGACCACCGGACAGTGTCCATAATTTTTTTTTGGATGTAAGCTTGGCTTTGGAAACTGCCCAGGTTTTTCACTCTTATTCAGCCACTGTCTAGAACATTGTCTGTTGTCATACAATATCTGTTTTTCATCACACATTACTATACGATTGATAAATGTATCATTTTTAAAGCGTTCAGAAAGCATTGAACAGATTTCATACCTGCGATCCTTTTGGCGTTCAGCTCATGCGGAACCACTTGGTGAGCTTTGTTTTCTCAATAGCTTCCAGATGCAGATGACTGTGGATTGGTCAACAGTTCTTCCACTATTTCTCGAGTAGTTTTTATGGGGTCAGCTCCAACTATAGCCTTTAACTGGTCGTTGTCAACAGCAGAAGGACGGCCACCACCTTTGCTCGTGAAGTCATAATCTTCATTACGGAATTTTTGAAACCAACGCTGCACTGTAGATTCATTTGTGGTTCCTTGCCCCCCCCCCCCAATGTCATTAATTGCAGTTTGTGCTGTACTTTTCCCAAGTTTAATTCATAGAAATAAATTGTCCTAAAAATGGCTCTTAGACATCATTTTGTTGAAGGCATTGAACAGACTGAATTAAATGTTTTTTCAAAAAGGATTGTAAGAGAAAAAAAAAGGCGAGATAAATAGGGTATAAAATGATGTGTATCCCATAGCATATTGGATTAGTTTTGTTTACACAATTGGTATTAAAAGTGAAGCGAAAAGGAATACCTGCATTTATTTTGCATGAACCCGTAAAGGCACTGTTGGCCCTGGTTAGTTTGCATTTTCAGAATTAGACGTCATGAGAATCACTTGACACTGCTGCAGTCAGGTTTCAGCCTTGGGCTCCTAGGCTGACAGGTCATTTCAGCCCCTGTTACATGCAGTAACATAAGCACACATTCACTCATTCTTAAATACATTATTTCCTATGTATTGTCACTCACTCAATTAGGGTAACGGATATTTGATTTTCTTACATCAGTCATCTCACACTACCCACTAATAAATACCAAACTAGAGGTCCATCTCACCACAGACTCCCAAGAGAAAATTTACAATTGATTAACTTTATTGTATATTTGTACATTACAGTTGTGCAAAATAACCAGCCCTCAAACTTTTGCCTTTGTTAGTTTGTATTTTTAAATTAAACTATTAAAATATAATAGTCTATTACAGTGTAGGCTCCCGGACTGATGGGTCATTTCAGCCCCTGTTACAAGTAATAATGTAACTTATTTATTTTTAACATTAATTTGTCGAATAAGTGAGGAGTAGTCAGAAATGAAGTACTTTAGAAAAAGACCTTTTTTCATTTTTTCCCTGACATTTCGACTTTTATTCGGGTCATTTTCATGGCCTGGTTGAATTAGAAAACATATTTCGATTGGAGAAATAAGTTTTGCAATCCACCTAGGCCCTAAATATGACCCAAATAAATGTTGGCAAAAAAATGAAATATATTTTTCTAAAATACTTCTTACCTGACCGCTCTTCATTATTCCAGCAAATTATTGAACAACCGGTTCTAAATGAATACATACATGAATAAATTCTTTCCAGCAAAAGAGTTTTTTCTTCTCCACAGATTAAAACAGAAGCCCCAGAGATTCCAATTCCAATTCTCAAATTAGGAAGCATTCTTGTTCTTTATTTGAAGCGACATAGGTCGGGGGATCTAGAAACCTTTCTCAGTATACACATTTGCAGGCTTTGGTCCAAAAGAATGTGTCCATGTGTCAACACATATGGCCTATTCTAATTAAGGTGAAGATGATCCCAGATCTTTTATGATTCAGGTTCTCTGAGGTTTACCCAATTTTTATTTACTTTTTCCATTTTTATCATCAGATGGCCAGGCCTTAGCCTCGTTTATTTTTTCTTTACCTCTAGAACTATTTAATTAATATTTTGTTCAACAGAGAAATGATATTTAACAAAACAAAACGTAAAAAAAGAAATATCCTGTTATATGCTAGCCCTTCATAATAATTGGGAGAAAAAAAGCGTCTTTACCATTTTTTTTCTCTTTGCAAAACAGTGTACAAGTTGTTTAAGGACAGAATTTAAAATTTACAAATTCTTGCATAACTGTACGACAGAGGCTTCCCCCCATTTTTATGAGCAAAGTAAATGGCATTTTGTTCTTCATGTAACTAGAACTCACATTTTTATGATTAAGTTGTGCCGCAAAACAAAAGCAAAAACTCCAGAAATAGCTAGCCTAGGTACCTTTTCAATACTATGCAGATTAATTTTATCTAAAGCATGTTACATTGATTAATTTTTCCTACATTCTTCCTACTGTTGGTGTTGATATTTGTTTAAAACAGGGGGTAATTAGATAATTGATTTTTTTAGGAATTAGATTAAATTTAGAAAAATAATTCCTATTCCAGGAGGGCTTAATGTCCAACTGTCATTGAGTTGTGGATAAGGGGTTGACCACTTTAAACCGATACAAAATTACAAGGGCAGTGCCTACATTCGAACCCAAAACTGCTTGAGTGGCTAATCAGATGCCCTAAAGAATTGACCATCACAGCCCACATAAAATTAAGCTAACATTCTCTCAGTTTCTTATCATTTTTACTCATTGCTTATACTTTCCAACCAGTGACATATGATGCAGCAACATCACACTTCTATTTTTTTGTAGTTGGATAACAATTTGATGATGATGCTTATTTTACACCATACTTTTCACTCAAAACCGGCCTCCTTCTGTTGTAAACAATGCTCAAGTACAAACTGACAGTGAAGAACACCAGCCGGGCCAATTTATTATCAGTGCTTTATAGATTTTACCTGAAAGCAACAATCGATTGGTATTCATAACCAAAATTACTCTTCATACTTCTCAGCTTCCTCAATGTTAAGAAGAAACACCATGAACAAAAAAAGCTGTAAACTTTGGAGCAGTTGTTTGGGTGTTAAGTAAAGTTTTATTTTTCAATCTACCATGGCATAGACAATGGTGGATTGAATTAACAGTTTTACTCATTGAAGATGATGAACCTGTAATTTGGTCATTACTGATCATATTGGTCTTCAGTTTCTCAGATGGCAAAATACTGAATGCATTTGACAGACCAACACATTGAGGATAGGCAAACCAAATTGATTGGTTAAGTTCAAATTGCAGTTCTACTAAAAGTATCTAAATGAAGGTGCAAGTTCTTGCAACTAAGACAGGAAAACCCGCAAAGAAGATCAAAGCTATGGAGGCTGTTTAACAATCTGAGCTGGTCAGTGAGTTTTAAAAAACAGGGGAACACAATAGACCTATTCAGGTCGAGGTGCAGAAGGCCTTCAGGTCGCCTGTTTTATCCTTATCCCTTATCCCTAAAGGTATCGAAAGTTAAATTATATTATAGATTGGTCAAATGATACATTTTTAGCAACCAATTCTCAGTGAGAGGAATAAATCAAATGACAATTAAATACCGAAATTTCCTCTTGGGGCTTGTAAAGTGTTATTGTGCCATTTGTGTCTTATCCTTTCAGGGTCTGATGGTGAGAAGTTGAAACGTAACCAATGGACAAAAATGATCGGAAATAAATTACAATATTCAAAAGTTTACATTGTCTTTGGTAAACATTTTATGTAATAGGTGTAAGGACAATATCCAAAAAAAGCTGGGAGGCTCAATTTTGGACAATTCATTTATGTTAAGTTTATTTTTCCATTTATGTGACATTGTCAGATGTTTAGCAATGCACATATCCTTACCATTTGGCATTTGTTTATATCAGGAGTGGATCGGAATGTTAATAGTACTTTTTATGAGTCGAAGATAACGTTTATTTGTACCTTATATCTCACTCTCGCGGTAATTTTGTTTTATTAATTAATCCTTTCCAACAAAATGAAAGAAAATACAACAGGCCAGGATGTTTACACTTCCTCTTGTCAATAGGAATTCACATATTTTTACACTTCAATAGGAATTCTCATTTGCGAAGATAAAGTTTACGTGTTTTTAAGAATGTAAGGAAACACTCGGCCAGTTGGTTATGCTATTGAATTTTTTTATGTATCGAAGATTATGCTATCGTATATTAAAAACATTAAATAAGTACTGACTTTAATAATTCTACTTTATGACATAATTAATTTGTACTTTATGTGTGTGTGTGCATGCGTGCGCGCACGGCTTTTGATATTTGAATAAGAAAGAAGAAAACATCAAATATGTTGATTGTTATAAAGTAAATGTAACAAAAGGTAGAAATCAGGCTATTTTTAATTTATGATAATCAAATTAATACGCTAAATATCTCTTACGTAAAATGAATGTGTCTTTCTCATAATTAATTCTGATTTTTGAAATTGAAAAAATAAATTTGCATTTTGATAAATGATTCTTTCCTAAATATTTCAGAACTATTTCAAAATGGCTGCAGACCATTTCTGTTTACGATGGAACAATTACCAAAGCAATATGGTCTCTGAACTTGATATTTTAAGGACTGAAGAATATTTGGTTGATGTTACTCTGTGCTGTGAAGGGCATAAATTTAGAGCACATAAAGTGATACTTTCTGCATGCAGTCCGTATTTCCGAAATGTTTTCAAGGTATGTAAAATAGTCTCGTAGGTGAATTTATTTAATGACTGTTTAATTTCCTCGACAGGAAAACCCGTGTGAACATCCGGTTGTAATTTTAAAAGATGTATCTCCTGACGATGTGGAAGCCTTATTAAGTTTTGTATACCAGGGTGTGGTTTATGTCTCAGAAAAGAAACTGTCGTCGTTTTTACAAACGGCGGAACTTTTACAAATCAAAGGTCTGGCGGGTGCAGCTTCTAGTTTTAACGATGAACAAACAAAACAAGCGGCGACACCTCAGAGCCCAATAAAAAGAAGGAAAGGTGCTCCTGTCAGGATAGTTAAACACGAAGACGGAGAAGAGGACAGCAATCAAATGGAGGCCGAAGGAGAAAACGTAAAGAATGAGTTCTCAGAAGAAATGGATGCTTCCAAAAACGTAAATACTTTTTTTTTTTTTTTTTTTTTTCCAATTAACATAACTGTAGTACGTTCTTCTCAATACATGGCTGTATAGGATGAAGATGGGTCTATGGGTGAGGAGTCGGAGTCCGAGAATGGAGGCGAAGTCAATACAAGCAATTATGGATCAGTGGATATGAGAGGGGATGAAAACATGGTTAGCGATAGGGATAGAGTTATGGGTAATTCAAGGGATCAAATGGTGACACTTCTTCAACAGACTTTGGCTAGACAAAGGACAGCAGCACCGTCACAATCTTTGTTAGAAAATTCAGTTCAAGGTAAATTAAAATTTACTTTTAATTTAATTTTTTTTTATGTGAAAAATTTAAAATGTATGTTGAAAATATAAAATTTTTATAGGCCAATTTCCAGTACCTGTTCAAAACCAAGGATCAATACCAGAACTTTTATCACCAGCAGGTATGTGATTTCATAATTATTGTGTGCTGTAGGTGTTGGCATGTTTTCATTTTATTTTATTTTTTAATGCTTGGTGTATTTTATTTATTATTTTGTTGTGATGAACTAGTTCTTTCTTCTTTTTTTCTTTTATCCTAAGTGACTGCAAAGCATTAAGTAAAAATAATTAATAAAACAAACAATTGGAAAGTCACAATTTCTGCTATATTAGCATTTTTATTTTCAGTTACAATAAAAAGATGTGAACTATTTTTCTATTGTTAAAAAAAAAACATTTTAAGTGTTTCTAATAAATTTTTAGTCAATTTTTTGTGTTGTTAAACAAAATGGCATGTATAAAAAAAATTAGATATTTTTTAAAGGAAAGTAAATAAAGCATACTCACAAAGATTTTTAAAATGCTTGTTTTGTACTATGTACATAATATTTATATACATATTCATACACCGCCATTCGTTTATTTGTGTGGTAAGAAATTTTGTGCTTTGAATGCATCATTATTACTAAATTAACATTAAAGTTGACTTAGGGAAGTTAGTTGAATTAGAATAGCTTTATGTTGGAGAAATGGATACCACTTGTTAATTTTGGTTCTTTTATTGCCTTTATAATGCAAATTTTATAACTGACAACTTCAGTCAGCGAGCTGTGTCATTGTTTTCTAATATTCTTATCTACCTCACTTATCCTAATACTCAACTATTAACGTTTTCCGAAAGGGGTTAGAGATGAAATATTTACATTACTTGTGAAGACACATTTTAAATACTTATTTACAACACAATAGTCATTAAATATTAAAATATAAATTTGAATCTTTTAATTTTACAATAAAACATTCATTTATGTGCACTTAAGAAAGAGTAAAAACAAAATGTTCCCAATTGCTTCCTCCACAAGAACATCCTCCACTAAATTACAAATACGTTTTAAAATTATTAACCTCCTTCTTTAAATTAATAATTAAAAATTAGTGCCAGCAGTTTGATTATTTCTATGGGCTGCTTATTCTTAATATTAATCTAGTAAGACAATGAAACTGCCATCTTCAGCATTTAACGATTTACAGAATATACTAGGCTGAAATGTGACTTAAGATGAATAATGAAAAATTCAGACGAACAACGATCAACTTCAACCCTCAGACAAACATTTCATTTTAATAAAAACTCGTAATTCGACACAATTGCGGTGGTCATACCGGAATATATTAGACCCTGTTTTTACAATGAATATATAATTTATACCGGTTTCAAGTTTATTTTTGTCTTGCTAATCTCCTGGAGCTTTTATTTACAATTTAAATGATCATACATTGTAGTGAAACATTTTTTGTTTATATCAAATTGGATTTTTTTTAGGGGGGGGGGCAATTAAATGATCATTACAAATTATAACCTGTAAATCAATGTTCAAGACAACACAATTTTGTCCAACAAAACTGTGTGAATTATAATGCCTCTAGTAGCTGTAATACACTAAAAACAAAGTCATTTAGGCTGAGTTGCACCAACTGGTTTATACTCAGTTCAGTAACTGAAGTTAAACTAAAATTACTCTTTTTCATTAAAAAATGCTAAAATTCTTGAAATATTCTTATTTATATTCAACTAGTTTTTCAATTTATCTTGAACCGAGATCAAATTATGAACCTGGTTCAACTTGGATGGCCATCGAACGTGAATTAAATCTAGTTCGGAGATAAACCTCACAATATAATCTGTGTGTAATTGAAGATGCGTTCTTTCGATTTGAATCATTTTTTGTTTATACATTTCAATAAAAATTGATCATCTTTGGGAATGTAACTAATTGAAAGTTCTTATACATAGTTCTAGCCGTCTTTTGTTTTTCTAATTAGCAACAGTAAGTCCGGCAATTTTATTTCATTTACAATCTCTCTCTCTCTCTCTCTCTCTCTCTCTCTCTCTCTCTCTCTCTCTCTCCTTCTCTCTCTCTCTCCTCCCTCTCTCTCTCCTCCCTCTCCGAACTTGGTTTGAATTATGACTGAGTTTAAATAATTATTGGTGCAATAGGCCCATATTGATATAACACAAAAACCAGTCAACCTAATTGAAGTCATTATAACTTAACTTATTTTATTAAGTTAACTTATTTTATTCCTAACAATCTTAAAAATAATAACACATTTTAACGTTACACATCGACAAAAAAATAAAAATAAAAATAAAATAAATAAACTCACTTGTTCTGCATATTGGGAATAAAAGTAGCGCAGGTGTTTGATTTAACTGTAGACTATTACAATTACCACATTAACACATCACATTTTAACAGATTTTTTTTTTAAATTTTCTGAAGCTTAAGTGTAAAATGTTTGTTATTTGAAAAACCAATGAACCGTGTACATAAAGTTGACTTACTCAACTACTTGATAAAATCTAGATTTAACCCAAATATTAGTCCAAATTATTTTTTATTATTTGAAATTAATATAGTAATAGTAAAACTGAAATTATAATTATTAATTAATGGTTATGCAAATTAATATTCGTATTGAAAAATAATTACAGCAGAAAAAACTTAGAAAATGAAGTAAAACACAAATCCATTTGTAAAAATTAGCTTTTAAATCAAATCACTGGAAAAATTATTTTTTAAACTAAATGAGGCATGTTTATTATTTTAATGCTTTTTCTTAACATTAATATTTTAACGTTTCAAAAATTTTAAGGGCTATGGGTGGTTAATGATTGTTGATGAAGATTTATTGCTAAAAACTATATGTTGCTCTAAAATTCTGGCCGTAATTTTCTTTAAAAATAAATAAATAAAGTAAATCTATTTGAAAATTGAAAATTAGACTCTGATCCCAGTTTAGAAAATCACTTTTTTTTTCTTAAGAAAAAATCTGCAACACCATTTTAGTTAATTATTTTATAGAATACTTTAATTTTGTATTTTTTCAAAATTTTATTGAGATTGAGAACTGAAAGGGATGCCTTAATGCGAACGGTTTGTCACATTTTGGGATTTTGATTAAATTTCGAAGGAAGATAGAATATTACATGTTGTCATTTAAAAATAATGTTTCAACTTGATAGCAAGACTATCCATTTCTCAATTGTTGAATATTTAGAAAAAGAAACATCCCTTTTTAAATGGTGGAAAGAAATAGTCAAAACAATTCTTGATTAAGACTACCCATTGTCCCTTTTGAATTGTTTTACTGCTTGGAATTTATATTCTATGGGTATTCTTAACAAGAGTTATATCTAAAAGTGCCAAGTTGGAAGAAGACAAAGGGTTGGAATATTGCATATGAAAGGGGGGGTGTTTGCAGATTCGCGGCGAGGAGAATGGAGATGTATGCAGCCTCAAAGGTGTCAGTTGTGTGGGAAGGTATTCTCAAATTCTGGAAACCTGAGACAGCATATAAGTAACGTTCACATGCCTGGCGAAAGAGTGCCTTGTAACGTTTGTTACAGAATGTTCAAAAATAAAGAATACTTAAGGAAACACCACGTTCAAACGCACAATGCCCCCCTCCGAAGGCACAGGCGATGATATTTTTCAGATCTCCCGGTGAATCCCTCCAATTATGGTTTTTAAATTATTTAAAAAAATTGTTTTAAATTGATTTATATTTGCTTCCTTTTTGGACACCACAGCAAATATAATTAATTGTTCTTTGTTAAATAATCATTTGAAATTATTATTTAATAAAAACAAAACAATTGGTATGTTTTCTGTGTTGACTATTGACTGTGATCTTTGTATGATTATTAATTATTTAAACGTAGAAAGTGCAATTTGCAAGAACTAACTGAAAAAAGCAAGTCATATTTAGTTTTAAAAGAAGAAAATAAAGTATTTAAAAAATAAAAAAAGTAAAATCACACAACATTTGCCTTTTTGAATAATTGTTCAACGATGTAATTATTAGATTATTGTATAACTGTTATAAGTAATAAATCAATTACTTAATTACTAAACTTAAGTGCTTAGGACATTTTGTGTCTTGTAGTTTTTTTAATGTTCAAGTAAGTGCATTTGTATTGCGATACAAATATTTTTTATATTTATAATAACACGATATGCTGTTGTATTAACTTTGTTTTAGTATTGTACAATAACAATTGTTGATTGCTTAAATGAATTTATTTCAGTTTTATTTGTGAATTTAATTTAAAACTAGAAAAATATGATTACATTATTAGAGAGAAAGAGGAAAGCGCAGATATAAAATTTACCAAAGTACCTTTATTTAGTGTTAACTTAGTTATTACCAAATACATTATTATTAAGAGTAAGATATGAAATTACACTGTTTGGAATACTATAAATAATATTTGAGTCATTTATTGTACTGTATAGATTGGTAGACTATTTGGGTATAAAAGAAAATAATACAGAGTTTAGCAATAATATTTAGATGTAAACAAAAATGTTAAAAAATAAAGTAATATTGTTTCAGAATTTTTTTAGCACGACGCTATTTTACAATGTTTATTTATTTATTTTTCTTTTTAATTCAATAAAGAATTAAAAATGAGGCAAGTTATTTGTGAATTACTTTGGCCCCCCCTATTGTGTGACACCCGTTTCTTATTTATTTATTTTGTTTTGGGATCTGTAAACCCGTAAACAGGCCCTTATTTTTGTTATTCAATTTATAATTTTGGAAAAACTCCTTAGACATTTATTTCAATTTTGGTTTTATTTAAGACATGCCATTTTGTTTTTTGTTTTATTTTTTCTTTCCTACATTTTATTTTATTGTTTTTACATTATTTTAATTACATTAATTTAATATGTTTTATTTGAGTGTGGCAATTTGTTTGAAAGAAAGTAGTTTTGTATGATGGGATTTTTCGTTAGTCACTTGGTTTTATTAATTGCAGTTACTTGTTTTTGTGTCTGATACTGTTCGAACACTACAATGTATCTACACGAACAAACAAATTTGTTTATACATATTGATAAGTTATACTTGAGCCAACCAACCTCCTCCCCCCCCCAAAAAAAGAGAAAAAAAA